TTGAGAAAATAAACGCTATTTCCCAGATCAAGTCTGTCTCCTGCCACTCTCACCCTTTGTCATTTTATGAAAACATCTGCCTTTGGTTTACACTTGATAAAGTTATGTGACTAGTTTTTAAACAAAGAAACTAGAACATATATATTTAAGCAAGCTTTATCCCTCCTCCCTTCAATGTAATCTTCTTTGTCCATGAGAGTATTCCACTTTGAGGGCTAGGTCAGATGAAGAGAGAGGGGAATTAAACTGAGTAACAATATTTTGGGTGTGCCTATATGTAATGAAGCATTTTCTTGTGTGGCTCAAACAGAATCTGGAAACATTTCCAAGAAGGCCATAACAAAAATATTTTGAGAGCAAAAGTATCCCAGAGTGATTACTTTGAACCACAATATTTATTCAGAAACGGAAATTCTAGCATATATTTTTCTAAAATTTTTCTTTTGGAAATTCAGCTGTTTTCATATTATTATCTAATTTTACAATTAAATGTAGGGCTGGTATTGAAAAATATACTTGCCCAAAGTGCTTTTAGATGATGAATAAAAATAAAATGGAAAGAAGTTTCTCCACAATTGTGATAGGTGCTTTGGGCGTGGAAGTATAGATTTTTAGACTGCTACTTCCATTGCATTGCTCTGAATATATTCACTACTATAATGAAAGTGCATTAGAATGCTCACTCAACATGTCAACCTGCTACAGTCAACTGTGTCTTTTTTAAAAAATCTTTCTTTTCAGTGCCATTTTTGGTTCAGTTCAGAAACTATAGCTAGACTTGTTAGATGTCTAGTTGTTAGATAGAGGCCCATTAAGAACTAGAGAGTATAATGCTAAGTGAAATAAGTCAGTCAGAGAAAAATAAATACCATATGATTTCACTCATATGTGGAATTTAAGAAATAAAACAAACAAGCAAAGGGAAAAAAGAGAGGGGAAAACCAAGAAACAGATACTAACTATAGAGAACAAACTGATGGTTACCAGAGGGGAGGTGGGTAAGGGACTGGGTTAAATAGGCGATAGGGATTAAGGAGTGTACTTGTCCTGATGAGCACCGGGTGATGTATGGAAGTGTTGAATCACTATACTGCACACTATATTGAAACTAATATTACACTGTATGTTAACTACATTGGAATTAAAATTTTAAAAATATTTTAATTAAAATTAAAAAGGAGGCCCATTTAATTACGCTGAGAAGTACACAATCACGTATCTGACCCCACAAGTGAAGCTTATTATAAGAACACTCAAATAAATTTTAGAAACAAATAACAAAAAAATTTTCAGGGGCGCCTGGGTGGCTCAGTTGGTTAAGCGACTGCCTTCGGCTCAGGTCATGATCCCAGGGTCCCGGGATCGAGCCCCACATCGGGTTCCCTGCTCCTCGGGAAGCCTGCTTCTCCCTCTACCACTCCCCCTGCTTGTGTCCCCTCTCTCGCTGTGTCTCTCTCTGTCAAATAAATAAATAAAATCTTTAAAAAAAAAAAAAAAGAAAATTATATCAATAAAAAAAAAAAATTTTCAGATATCTATGATGTTTCTTCATTTGGAAAATTATATGAAAACTCAATGCCATCAAGAAAACAAATGACAAATGCATTAGTGGAAGTATTTTTTCCAAATTATAGTAAAGCAAAAACTGGTTATGTTTCCATGTGTAAAAGGAGAGTGCTGTTGATTCTCAAGTTGTTAGTGGAAGAGGAAAATATTGCAAATTTTTGTGACTGACTCCTTCTAAGCGTTACTAAACAAGCCTTTCAGTAACATCTGAACAGGTCTTTCAACATCATGAACTAAAACAGTCTTCCAAACAGCACTTATGACTGAAAACCCTCACTCACAGTATATTACCAATTTACCAAATAGTTTAGCAACAAAGAACAATTGGTCAGCCCTTCCACTAATGCATAAATCAAGTTATGGAAACCATAAAATATGACAAACTTGATGTTTGAAATGCAGATGTTTACGGCCAAATCCTAAATCTGACCTACATCATCAAAGGGTTTGTTTGTTTAACATCCTCAAAGTCAAATATCTGCAGTAAAATGTATCTCTCCTGGTTCTTTGCACTTCCATAAGGTCAATGTATTCCAAACAAATGGATATGGAGCTTTTAACAACTGTTACACAAGGCTCAAATATCCACAGTGGGGGAAAATGCTATCAAGAGAAAAAGGTATAAAAGCCTTTTGTTAAGCTGTTAAATCAAACATGCAAAAATAAAATTAAAAAAAGAACTGCCTAATTTCAGGGAAGCAGATTTAAGCAAGAGGTGTTATGAATGCAATAAAATATAGCTTAAATATTTTAATGATGTTAATAGAAAATACATATCTAATTGATAACAAAAGTACAGACATAGTAATTTTATATATTATACACACAGACACACTCATAAACAAAGATTGGAGAATAATTTGGAATACTTTCAACATTTAAATTATTGACTGGGATGTTTTTCTACAAAATTGTTTATATAACGAAGAAGACTTTGTGAAAAAATATGAGAAATTATACATTACAAACTGCATAATACTCATAAGTTAGTTTTTCCTAATTCCAAATATGCAGAAAATGATGCCTAAAATTTGTATCAGTTAAGTCCACTAATTCTGACATTCCTTTCAGAATAGAAAACTGCAACTGTTCTTGGTGTAAGTTAAAATGTATTTTATGTATTTACAATGCTCGTTCCACATGAGATACTACCAAATCTGGCTATGTGTCCAATCACCTGGGGAACTTTCAAAAATAAGTTCCTGGGGCCCATCTCTTAAGAGATTCTGATTTGGAAAGTCTGGAGCAGATAGCAGGAATCCGTATCTATGATATAATATAAAGCTCATGTTGGTGTATTAAGGGAATTCCTCCTCTGATTCAGCTAGCTCTTGGATTGGTGGTCCCTTCTTTCAGGGCTTTTCAAACACTACTGTGCATACAAATCACCTGCGGATGTCATTAAGAAGCAGATTCTGATTTTGTAGGTCTGGGATGAGACGTAGGAACCTGTAGTTCTAACAAGCTGATGTCCATGCTGCTGGTCCAGAGACCACACTTTGAGTAGTAAGACCTTATGGGCTCTTTCAGTCTTTTCACAGGTGAATGAGAGAAGGCACTCCCCAAAGCGGTCCCTACCACTAGAATATTTTAAGTTTTACCTAAGCATCCTTTAGCATAGCTAGAGTATACAGTTTGCAAAATACTTGACATATCTTTACTACGTATCCTACTACCAAGTGAATGGAAATGATTTCCCCCATTTACAGACGGAGTATCGCTAAAAGATGAGTGTTACCAATGTCACAATGCAGAGATGAAATTAAAATGTACATAATTTTCACTATATATACAAGAATGTTGATCACAACCATATTTATAATAGTGAAATACTGGAGAAAATTCTAGATGTCCATCAATAGAGGACTGATTAAATAACTTATAAAGGTATCTATTAAAAATAATTTAGTTCACAATTACTGGTAATGAAAAGATGTTCATGATAAGTAAAAAGAAAAGGTTTTCAAAACCTTATACTAACGATCCCACTTTGTGGGGAAAAAACAGTCATATACATATTTGAAAAAAAAAAGAGTCCAGAAGATATATACTGTTTAAAAGCATCCTCAAAATAGTGGAATTTCAGGTGATTTTGAAGTTTATTTGTTCACATGACCTAATATTTCTACTATGACACAGACCTTATAAAATTCTGAAAGGGGAACAAGGGGGTGAAAAGAAAACCAAGCAAACCCACAGATGCAGACACCTTTCAAGAACTACTAGAATGGCTTGACTGCCAGGTAACTTGAATTCCAGAGAGCCAAGGGACTTCCTACATTCAAAGCACTTTTGAAAGCTTGTTAAAATTGCAGTCTTATATCCCACCCCAGACTTATTGAATCTGAATCTCTGACAATAGGCTCTGGAATCCACATATGAAGCAAACACTAACTCTTACAGCCAGTGAAGTTTCAAAACCACGTTGTTCAACAAAAAGCTCCCTAGAAATGCAGGGACCTGGACTAAATTTCAACCTATCTAAAAGGCAACCTAGAGCAAATTCAGAATGGGTGAAATCACAGCACCTACATACACATCCACATGCACAGAGACCACTGGAATCTGAATAACAACAAAAACCTGTACTTAGTGACTTGCTCTATTCAATCTTAATTTTAAGCATCTCATGTGAACACTGACATTTCCCATGGGCTGACTGAGGTCACAAAGGTTTTCTTTATATTTGAACTATATCCATCTGAAACTATTCTTATTATAACCCCTTCTATGATGTTCTGTCCCCATTTAGTCCTTCATTAGTTAAAAGTACCACACAAATATTATGAAACCAAATATCGAGGAAATTCAACTAGTCTCCTCTTGTTTTCATTTCTCCTTTCTAAACACATTCCAGTTGACTAACCTCAGTAGGTTCTGGTGATTATTTCTTCCAGAGATGCTCTTTGAGGTAAATTTAAAGCATGGACAAGTTTGTATTATAGAAATCCTCAAAGAATCAAGCATAACATTTTCTGTTCTGAAAAACACCATATGAACCCGAAAAATTTGTTGAAAGAAAAAGAGAAAAGGGAGGTATCACACTAAATATATCCCTGACATATCACATTCCCAAATACTTAGTACAACAATCAATTAACTAATAAGGCAACTAACTAAAACTTACTAAAAGTTTTCAAAATGAGACCTCAAGAGTTTGGGGGATTTCCCAATGTTAATAAATTAAGAGCATTTTCTTAAAGAAAGCATTGATAGATTTTTTCCCCCTTTAAAACAGGAGGGAAAACAACAGGAGGAAAAAAAGGCTACTATGAGCTCCTAAGAGGATCTAGGAAAAGAGCATAATTTCAGGGAGCTGGGGGACAAGCCTTTCATTTTATTTTAACCCATGATATATATTAATCCTGGATCACTCAGAAGGCGAGGCCTGCTAAAACTGGAATTTATTAAAACCAAGAAGATTATATACCCACCTGCAGCTCACACCAAGCAACCTCAACCCATGTTTCAGTGTCCAATCCTTTATATACTGTTTTAAATGCTCCTCTTCCCAGCTCTATGTCGAATTTCAGGAACCTGCCACTAGGAGAAGTAGCTACGGCCTTCATTTCTGCTTCTTCTTCCATTTCCTTTTCATTTTTCTCCTTGAGACAATCTTTTGAGGACTCTGAAGTTGCCTTTGAACACTGTTCGTATTTAACTTCTTGTCCACCTCCTAGCACATTTGTAGGAAGCTTTTCTACTCTTGGAATATTTGTTGTGGTCTTCATTCTCTCATCTTTGGAGGAAGATGCAGCAACTTTATCATCTTCCATCATCTCAACACTTTTTCGGAAGAATCTCTTCCTTTCTGTAGTTTCCCCAGAAGCAGAGAAGGTACTATTTTTTTCTTTTAGTCTAGCTTCCACTGTCAAAGTTGCTGCAAGCTGAGGAGCTCTGTCTTCCAGTGAAACTCCATCAGGTTTCTCAGAATCTTCTGTGCTAGCTGGCTCTCCTGAATCAGTAGCCATTGTAATTGAGGTTGGCACTAAAATTTTTCCTGTTCCACTCTTTAGTCCAGTTACATCTCAGGTATCAGAATTATCAGAATGGACTTCCGTTTATTTAGTCATGTTTCCACAGCAACCTGAAGGGGGAGGGAAAGGATATTTTAAAATCACCCCACAAAGGAAACCATTAAGGAGAAAACAAGTCACCTGATTATTTAATCCCTTTTTTCTTATTAAGAAGTTTGTTCTTTTTCTGTTCAATCTTAGCAACCAGGAGACTCTAGGGACTGTGTCTTATCTTGTTTACCACCACAGTCCTCAGTGCCTAGCACACTACTTGGCATATATAGCCCAATAAATCTTCATATTGCATGAATGTTGGTTAAGAACTTAGTTCTCAGCACCATCTATCAATCCATCATATTTAAAACAAGTATCCAGAACTTAGCTACAAGGTAACACACAATAAGTAAAGTAAGCACATAATTTCTCAGTGAGTGGTTTTATCTAAAATTCTGAAATTAATCCAATTGTAGTATTTTTTTAATTGTGATAAAATATACTTAATATCAAATTTACCATTTAACCATTTTTCAGCGTACAATTCAGTGGCATTAAGTACATTCACAATGTTGTACAATCACTACCACTATCCATTTCCAGAACTTTTTCATCATTCCAAACTGAAATTCTATATCCGTTAAACTCCCTATCTCCCCAGCCTCTGGTAATCTCTCTTTTGTTCTTTCTGTTCCTATGAACTTGCTTATTCTAGGTACTTCATATAAGTGGAATGATACAATATTTGTCCTTTTGTGTCTGGCTTAGTTCACTTCACGTAATGCTTAAAGTTCATTCATGTTGTAGCATGTATCAGAATTTTATTCCTTTTTAAGGCTCAACAATATTCCATTGTATGGATAGACCACATTTTGTTTCTCCATTCATCTGGTCAATGGATTTTTTTTTAACCTTTTAACTATTGTGAATAATGCTGCTATGAATATCTAATGGTAATTCCAAATAATCTAAATACTTGTTAGTGAGCTTACCCTCAAATATTAACAGAAAGAAACTGCTGTCAAATAGTAACACACTACACTAAAAAAAATGGCAAGAAAGACTTAAAAATATGCATCCTCTTGAACCAGCAATTCTACTTATAGGAACTTGCCTTAGAAAATAGTCAAGAATCTGGGCAAAGATTTAACTATAGCACTTAAAATTTGGAAAAACTACCCTAAACATAAGCCTAATAGGGGTTTAGTTAAATATCAAAATAAGATGTGACACAGCATTAAGAAACACTGCAGTTTTGGGGCATTTGGCTGGCTCAGTTGGTAGAGCATGGGACTCTTGATCTCAGGGTCATGAGTTCAAGCCCCATGTTGGGCATGGAGCCTACCTAAAAAACAAAAAAATATTTTAAAAAAAACTGCAGTTTCTAAGTGAGATGAAAAGACATTCCCTATATGTTATATGGTTAAGTGAAAAAAGAAATATATACAATAAGCTTCCATACACACATGTACACACTATATTAACTCTGAATGGTGGAATTATGAACTTTTTTCTTTCTGTTTTCTTGTATTTTCTAAAACTTTCCACAATGAACATGTGGAAATATGTGGAATCTATAAGGAAAAGGAAAGTTTTTCACAAATGGTCAAACTACCAAAAAGAAAATTCTTCCCTTCCCACCACAAACATGTATCACAAAGTTAGGCCTATATACCTATTATCATGTTATGTGCCTCAAAAGGTACAATTTGTCATGTCAAACCAAGCATACACAGAAATATCAAATTTGAAAAACTGAAGAAAACCAACTCTGAACTAAAACAAAAAGGAGAAACACCACAAATTGTTCTACACATTTAACACAATTCCTATCAAAATTCCAGCTGGTGCCAAGAAAATTTAATAAAGAACAGTCTTTTCAACAAATGGTGCTAGGGCTACTGGATATCTACATGCAAAAACCTGAAGTCAGATACTCTAAGTGAGGTTTCCTGGAAAAGATAACCAAACTGAGTCTTGAAGAAAGAAAATTAGCTGATCCGAGCAAAGAGAAGATCACAAGCAAAGTCATGAAACAGTATGAAGTAAGTGCATATGAGTGGTACCATGAATAGTTTACTCACATATTAGAAGCAGGTAGATGAGGACAGAGAGGCAGATAGTCACCGAGGATTTCTATGCCATACAATGTAAAACAAGGAGACCAATTAGAGAGCTACTGCCACAATCCAGGAAACAGATGCTGAGTTTCACTGAAAACTGTGGCAAAAGGGACAGATTCAAGACATATCAAGCAAATAACAAATGCAAGATTTACCATCTAAATGAGTATGGTTGTGAGGCAAAAGAAGTGTCTATAAAAACTCCCAGAAATTTGCCTATCAGATGACAGGACTAGGAAATAACTGTGTTAATACCAAAGCTAAGAGTGCTCTGTGAGGTTACACTGCCAAATCAATACACTTTAAAAGTCATCTAATAAGACTAGTATCGCCTGCAAGTGAGAAAAAGTATCTAACAATGCCTCACTGAGGTAGAGATTTTTTCTTTAACTTATTCTAACATAATTTTAGACTTGGAAAAAAAAAAACCCTGCAAGAATATACAAAGAATCCAGTATACCCTTCACTCACATTTCCCAAATGTAAACATTTTAGGTGTGATATTCTTAAGTAAGAATAATATTATTCACTTCACTTAACTAAAGGTCACTTATCCAGAAACCTCAAGAGCAGAGATCCATATGTAAGATAAAAAGACTTCTAAGCAGACAAAAATAGATAAATAAGAGAATTTAAGTTGGGAAAAACCTTCAAACATTTTTAAATGCATAACCTCTTTTTAAAAATTAAATCTTGGGATGCCTGGGTGGCTCAGTTGTTAAGCGCCTGCCTTCGGCTCAGGTCATGATCCCAGAGTCCTGGGATCAAGTCCGGCATCAGACTCCTTGCTCAGCAGGGAGCCTGCTTCTCCCTCTGCTTCTGCCTGCCCCTCCCCCTGCTTGTGCTCGTGTTCTCTCTCTCTGACAAATAAATAAATAAACTCTTAAAAAAAAAGAAAAATATAAATCTTACTCAGAATCCTAATATAAAAATAGTAGTGTTGCTCTAGTATAATAATTCTAACATATTTGATCACCTGGTTTCCCAAACTATAAGGATAAGAAGAGACAATTAAGAGGAATGGGGAAATGAGTGTTCCCCCAGTCTTCTAAATTCTAAAAAAAAAAACCCAAGACAAATATGTTCCTAGAGACAAAGAGGGACATTGGTAAATATGAGAAAACTGGAAAGAAATAAACAATAATAACAGTAGAATATTTTAATACCCCATTCTCAGTGATGGAGAGAAAAACTAGACAGAAAAGCAAAAAGAATCTGGAAAACTTGGCCAATACAACCAACCAACTTGACCTAACTGCCATCTATAGAACACTCCTAATAAAAGCAAAATAAACATTCTTTTCAAGCATACATGCAAAAATCTCCAGAGCAAATCATACAAAATAAATCTCAATAAATTTAAAATTGAAATCAAACAAACTACGCTCTCCTACCACAAAAGAATTAAATTAGAAATGAACAACAGAATAACGATAAATATATATAATTGACCCTTGAATAACATGGGTTTGAACTGTGCAGGTCCACTTATACATGGATATTTTACAGTACAGTACTGTGAATTTGCTTTCTCTTCTTTTGATTTTCTTAATAACATTTTTCCATAGCTTACTTTATTGTAAGAATACAGTATATAATACATATAACATACACAATATGTGTTGTTTATGTTATTGGTAAAGCTTTGGTACACTGTTATTACTAAGTTTTTAGAGAGTCAAAAGTTATATGCAGATTTTCAACTGCACAGGGGTTGGTGCCCCCAACCCTCACATTGTTCAAGGGTCAATTGTAGATCAATGGAATAGAATTGAGAGTCTAGAAGTAAACCTGAACATTTATGGTCAACTGATTTTCAAAAAAGAGGCCAAGACCACTGAATGGGAAAAGAACAGTCTTTCAACAAAAGGTGCTGGGACAGTTGGATATATCCACAAAGAAAAGAGTAAAGTTGGACTCCTACCTCACGCCATACAAAAAAATGAACTCAAAGTGGATCATAGACCTAATGTAAGAGCTAAAACTATAAAGCTCTTAGAAAAAAACATTGAAGTGAATCTTAAGTGACTTTGGGTTAAGCAATGATTTCTCAGATACAGTAACAAAAATACAAGTGATAAAAGAGAAATTGAGAAGATGGACCTCATCAAAATTTAAAACTTTTGTGCCTCAAAGGATGCCATCAAGAAGGTGAAAAGCAAAAAGACTGACCGAAAATACGTGCAAATCATATATCTGATAAGGGACTGGTAGTCAGAATATATAAGGAATTCTTTTTTTTTTTTAAGATTTTATTTGTCAAAGGGACACAGAGAGAGAGAGCAAGTGAGCAAGCACAAGCAGGGGGAGCAGTAGGCAGAGGGAGAAGCAGGCTCCCCGCCGAGCAGGGAGCCCGATGTGGGGCTCCATCCCAGGGCACTGGGATCATGACCTGAGCCGAAGGCAGACACTTAACTGACTGAGTCACCCAGGCATCCCTATATAAGAAATTCTTACAACTCAATAATGAAAGATAAATAATCCAATGGGCTCAAGATCTGAACAGACATTCTCTAAATAAGATATACAAACAGCCAATAAACACATGAAAAGATGTTACATATTACTCTTTAGAGAAATGCAACTCAAAACCACAGTGAAATATTACTTCATACCCATGAAGATGGCTATGACAAAAAAGACAGACAGTAACAAGTGTTGGTAAGGATGTGGAAAAATGGACCCCTTATACATTGCTGGTGGGGATGTAGAATGGTGCAGTTGCTTCAGAACACAGCCTAGCAGTTCCTCAACAAATTAAGCACTGAGTTATTATATGACACCATCTTCCCAAGAGAAATAAAAACATATGTCCACACAAAACTTGTACACAAGTATCCACAGCAACATTATTCACAATTGCCAAAGGTGGAAACAATCCAAATGTCTGTCAACTGATGGATAAACAAAATGTGTTATATCCATGCAATAGAATACTATTTGGCAATGCAAAG